TTTCTGAGCACTGCTTGGATTCTTCACCTCCAGTAACCCTAAAATTGCTATAACAATATTTGACTTTCTTACAAACCTTACATTCAATATATACATTTGTCAGCAAGTCTAGCTAGATCTAATTTCAAAGTATAGTGTAAGTCTGACTTTCTCTGTACTATAGATACCACCTTATATTAGTGCTTGATTGCTAATAAAACACCTCAAAGCTTAAAGACTTAAAATCACAGTAGGCAATAGCTCAGTGGATTAAAGCGCCTGGTTTGATCCCCAGGCCTGCTGTGCTGCCCCCCCCCAGGTGCACTGAGGCCGAGATTGAGACTGGGCATGGTGGTAGAGCCTGTAATCCCAGCACTTGGGAGGCTGTAAGCAGGGGAGTTACTAGGAATCCAATCTAGTAGTGAGACCCTGAAAACCCTATAGACCCTTCCCTAAAATACAGAAAAAAATAATTAAATAAACAAGAATTAAAACTAAAAAAATAAAATCACAGTAGGCAAAACAAAAAAGGGGATACAAATAAATGACCATTTTGTAGTGAAATATATATATATATATATATATATACACATATATATGCTTTATGTATATATGTAAATACATATATTTTCTCTTAGTTCAATGAGAAGAAAAGTTTGTACTAATATTGTTTAGACAACATATCATCTTGTCCTCTGAATAACCACTACGAAGACAATATGCAATGTATTAATTATTGTAACTGCCCTACTAACCTGTTTTGAAACTGTTTCATTGCTATTTTATTTTCTCATTAAAATGAATAAAAAATAATTCTAAAAAATCACAATAGGGAAGGGGAGGGCGAAATAAAAAGAATTAAAGTGTGTTATGTACATGGGCCAATTCCTCTCAATGAATGTAAGCATTATGTACTGCAAACATGTACTAATAAAAACATAAAATAAAGAAAAAATAAAATTAAAAAAGTACATCGGTTATCTCAGTTTCTGTGAGTCAGAAGCTGGAGCACTTCTCTGGTTCAAAGCCTTTCAGGAAATTACAGTCAAGGTGTGGGCAGGGCTGGGGGCACCTGGCTGCCGGCCTGACGTTGGAGCTAAAGGATAGTCTTCCAAGGTCGCTCAGCACATGGACGGAATGCACAATGCGCAGCGAGCCTCTCCAGAGGAATTCTTGAGCATCCATCCTATCCTTACCAGTGTAAGTGGCTGACAGCTTGGCCCCGTGGAGTTAACCAGAAACTGCTGTGTCTTATATGACCTAGACTTGGAAGTTACACCTTTTCACATTCCCATCACTGGAACAAAATACCTGAGATATACCCTGTGGTAGTTGATTCATTGTGCCAACTTGAGATGTCTGAAGCTTGGCTGGATGACGCCGCGGGGTTCCGGGCCAAGGGGCACGACTGGTTCTGCCCTGGGGTGCGACGGCCCGCCATAGAGTGACTCACCACAAAAAGGATATACAAAGGAGTTGAGGAAGGCTTCTCTGCCCCGACCCCACTTGGAGAAGTCCTGGTGTTTGTCGCACCACTTTGTGGCTGTGCCACTTTGGAGGAGCTTGGTCTTCGCAGCCATGCTCTGATCTTCGCGGTGGAGCGGCGGGCTGCCATGAACTGCTGCCGTCTGCCTTTAGCCAGCTGAGTATGGACTGAAACCTCCACAAACTGTAAGCTAAATAAATCTTCCCTTCCTTAAATACCCCCCCCCCCCCCCGCAGAACCAGAGATTGAACTCAGGCACTGAGCCATCTCCTCGGCCCCTCCTTTCCTTATTTTGAGTGTTGGGTATTTGTCCCAGCAACGAGTAAAAAGTAACTAAGACCTACCCCTTGAAAAAGACATTTATTTGGCTCCCAACTTCCAGTGAGGTCAACCCACGGTTGGCTAGCTCCCAGGCATGACGGAAGGTAGCCAAAAGCAGGAGGAAGGGTTTGAGAATAAACCCTTACAGGTCAGCTCCCAGTAACCCACCTCCTCCAACCACTGTATTAATCCACTGAGGAGTATGGTGCCCGTGATCCAATCACATTCTGAAAGCCACATATTTGAACATATGACACTTTGGGGGAATATTTTAGATCTAAACTATAATACTATGGGTCTCGGTGCAGTAGGGCATGAATACATAAGGAGAGGGTGGTTAGAGGTCATCCCATGCTGGCTCCTTCACTGCTACCTCCCATCTGGCTTCTACCATTGCTTCTTAACCGACATCCCTGTTTCTGTCTCCTCAGTGTCTATTTTCAACAAAACAGCCAGAAACTTTTTATCATATCGTATTGCTTGCCTACCGAAAGCCTCAAAACAGCTCCTGATAGCCAAGGAAAAGCCAGACTTAGCCATGGCTCCAAGATCTTCCATCGTCTGGCACCTACTTGTTTTATCTTAGCAAAAAATACTAAAAGTCTCAAATTCACTATGTAGGCTTCTGTCCTGGGATCCTTGCATTGGCTTCTTCTCCTCAGCCTGGAGTTGTTTTCCAATAGCAAGTTCATTCAGATCTTTCTTCCAGTCAGACAGGACTTTTCTTTTCTTTTTAGGACTTTTCTGATCATTGCAAATAAATTAATAAACTTAAATAACGTTACATTTCTTTCCTTTCCTTCTTTATAGTACTTAACAGTTATGGCTTATTTTCTTCCCCTAGAATATAAATTCCACAAGAACAAGGGGCTTTAGTTTTTGCTGAAGCCTTGACATGCATGATCTTAGTTACTCTTTTCTCGTTGCTGGGACAAATACCTGACAATACCTCAAATTGAAGGAAGGAAAGGTTTATTTAACTCACAGTTACTGGAGGTTTCAGTCCATATTCAGCTGGATCCAAGGCAGAGCAGCACATAGCAGAAAGCAACCTTTCATGGTGGCAGCAAAAAGCAAGAGCAAAGGGAGAGGTAGCAGCTCAAGCAGCTAGCTTCTCTTCCCACCTTACACTGTAATGCAAATTACCTGCCCCAGGGCAAGTGCAGCATCCACACCCACAGTAATCAATCACAAATTCCAGAAGCTGCCCCAACACTGCCTGAGACTTTGGGGGACACCTATACACAAACCATAACACATGACATAGACTGACGTATTTGTGTCTTCCCATAATGTCAGAAGTTATTGACGGTTAATAAATTCACAATCTATATCATTTTCAGCTGTGTTACTTCATGGAGTACTTCGAACTTCAACTGGAAGTTGTGACCATGGCAATTACAACTTTTTAATTTCTTTTTTCTTTTTTTAAGTGCAGGAGATTAAACTCAGGTCCTTGGACGTGCTAGGAAGAACTCTATCACTTTGCCACATCTCCAGGCCCCATTCCATCTTAACTACTACTATCTATGACACTCAGATCACATATCACATTCCAAATGGTGCTATTCTGTTACAGAGAGGCTAAGAAAGAGTCCAGGTAGCTGTACGATTTAGAGACTCAGTACAGACAGCAAAAGAGTGAATACTGTATAAATGTAGAGAGACTATAGGTGGTCAGATAAAGGGTTAGTGAACTAAGCATAGAACCATCAAGGTGAAAGAATCTTGGAAGTGGGCAGCATCAAAGAGTAAGGAAACCTTGATTTTTAGAATGATGACTTCCGGGATCAGTGGTTTGTCACCACAGTAACCTGCTGGGCAGAGCCTGTGACCTGCGGTCTATCGCAGGTGATGAGTTAGTGTTGCTATAATTACTGGCCACTTAGGTTCAGAGCTCAGGTTCATTTGCTCATTGCTGACCAAACCAAAGGAGGCCATATAATTAAAGTGAAAAGATTTATTTAAATTTCGTGCCAAGGAGCTAGAGCAACCTATTTGCCTTGAAATCATCATCTCACTGTATACTGGTGGGCAATAGTCTTTTATAGTGAGGGACAGAGAGCATAGAGAGACAATGCTGATCTCCAACTTATTTTATCACTTCATTTGTCCCATTTCTTGTGAAAAGGAAACTGGGTTCCAATCTTCTAGGTGTCAGTATCTGCATATTCTGTCATTTCATTGGGGTTGAGAAGAGGTGGTGGTGGTGGCGATGTGCTCAGCAAGGACAACTTTGGAGTGTGGTGGTGTGTGCCTGTAATCCCAGGACTTGGAAGGCTGAAAACAGGAGGATCACTAGGAGTCTGATCTGTGTAGTGGGACCCTGTAGACCCTGTACTAACTACATTAAAAGAAAAAAAAAATAAATAAAGACAAACTTTGGACAAGTTGTCCATTGCTTTAAGAAGGCTTTTTAAACTTGCATTTTTTGGTAGTGTTTACACTCTGTTTGCAGTCTCACATTTCTGGTAATGGGGTTGTATCATTTTTTGGTCTAATAAATTCATGAGCCTTTAGTCCCTGTTATAGTCCAATAAGCCCAAGTGTCTATGTGTCCCCTGTTTAATTCAGGAACTTCACAGATGGTAATCTTTATTAACACAAATGGATTATTTATCCTACTCTATCTTGTAATTGTGCTGTGTGACTGGTGGCTATTCTTCTTTGTCAGTTTTGTGTGCCCAGTATCTGGTGGTTGTCTACTTGCACCCACCCAATGGAAGTCATTTGACCTTGGCATTTGCAGACACAATGGAATAAGCCAGGGCAAACTGCTGCTTTCTAAAATGGAATAACTAAGGGCAGAGCACAGCCAGCTCTCTACAAGCCTCAAGGTCTTCCATAGTGTCTGACACAGAAGAGACGCTCAGTAAACACTGAGTGACTGAACATGTTAGTTCATGAAAAGTGGCTGCTAGTCCCAATCTTGCCTGCATAAGAGCCCTGTTGACACTGAATTATAAATAGAAACAAAAACCAAAGGAGAGAGGAAATGGGAAAGGGGTAGGTAGATAGCAGAAAATGTAGTTACTAGTAAGTGTATTAGAAAGCGAGAGATGGAGACAAATCAGGGGAAAAACTATGATATGAAATAGACTATTCTGATTTGTAAGTTTATGACATTTTAAAAAAAGAACAGATTTATTTGAAAGAAGAAAATGATGTGTAAAAAATTAAGTAAATCTTGAGAACAGAATGGTTTATCCATGAGTCAGAAGGAACATTAAGCAAGTTAAAAAATATAAAAGACCATGAAAAGATACACTGATGGATAAGGAACTATGTGGGAAGTTTATTAGGGCAGGCCCTCCGCATGGGGTGGATGTTCCGGGGCAGCACAGGATGGCTGTGCAGGATCTCCTGGATCTTGTCCAGGCAGCTCTGGTTTGCTGCTATGCCTTCTTCAAACTCTCGGCGCTTCTCTTCCTTCTCTGCCTCTCGGGCTTGCTGCTGGTGGGCTATTTGCATCTGAAGCTGCTTCCTGTACTCCTGGGCTAGGCCACAGCGTCTAAAGCATTAGACATTTCAAATATAAAACTATAAAAGTAGGCACGTGGATTTATTCAGATTACAATTAAGATACAATTTGTGAAACCAATTTAAAATATTTCCAGTAAAATCAGAATAAGTGCTTGTATATCTAAAAATGCTCACAGCGAACTGTTCAGAAAGCCATGCTTTGTGGTGCATGTCTGTAATCCGAGCTCCTCACAAGGCTGAAGCAAGTTTGTTAAATTCAAGGGTTACCCAGGCAATGTAATGAGATTCTGTTTTGAAATAAAATTTAAGAATAGCTGGGGATGTAGCTCATCACTCCCTGGGTTTAATAATACCCAATACTGGGGGAAAAACCAGGGAGAGTGGCAAACAAACAGATCAGAAACTCAGTAATGGGTTTAGCCAGGCGTGCTGCTTTTGCTTTTCTTTTGTCCTTCCAGAGGCTGGCCTGCCTGCTCTCTCTTCTGCTCAGGGTCTAAATAGGGACGCCTGTAGTGACCTGGCACTGCTGAGGACTGGGTCGGTCATCCTACCATTCAGTTCAGTATTAACTAGACCATTTTTTGGCTTAGACAGTATAAGCAACACTTTTACTGTAAAATGACACACTTAAAAATTTCTGAGATGGGTTTTATTGCAATAAAACAAACCGACATAAAAATACTTACCATCTTAACTATTTTAAGCACTCAGTACAGTAAGTGTAATTATATTGTTGTAAAAGGGATCTCCAAAACGTTTACATATTGCAAATATGAAACTCATGAACATTAAGCTCCAACTCTCTTTCTCCCTCCTCCCTCAGCTCCTGATAACCACATTCTACTTCACCTTTCTATGGATTGGATATCTCATAAAAGCAGAACCACACAGTATCTGTCTTTTTGTGAGTGGCTTATTTCACTTAGTATAATGTCTTCAAGGTTCATCCATATTGCAGTATGTGACAGAGTTTCCTTTCTTTCAACACCTGTGTTACAGGCCATTGTATTGGTAAGAAAAATTTCTGAGATGTCCTAAATTGACTTACAAGGGCCCAAGGATGGAGGAGGGGAGAGATAAGAAAAGTCAAACGCTTAAAAGCTGTGGACCAAACCAACAAAAGAATGTTTCAACATTTCTGAGTGATAAAACCTTAAATCCTGTCATGACCTTGTAAGTCACACCCAAGACCTGGTCCTTTTTCTGGCCAGCATCAGTAATACCTCGATAACTGCTTTTATTTTAGATCTCTTGAGCTCTAGAATTTTATACATGCTACATTTTGGTTAACTTTTCATTTGTTGATGGATATTTAGGTTCCTTTTACCTCTACTAGAAATGGTGCTCTTGTGAATATGTCTTTGAGATCTTGCTTTCAATTCTTTCTGAATCCCAGATATGAGATTTTTGGATCATGTTCTACGTTAATTTATTTTTTAAAAGGGAAACTTCATACTGTTTTCCTTGGAGGTTGTACCATTTCCCAATTTATAAATCACATTTTAAATATTAGCTGTGGCATAAGAATTTTATTTGGTGTTTATCCCCAGTTCTGGCACAGAGCTCCTAAAGCCCTAAGAGCTTCCCAAGGGACAAGAGTTTCTTTGATTATTCCTAAGGGCATCTTAGTCAAGGGAACTGGGTGAGACCCCTAGAAAACCTTAGGGTGGGGAAGTCAATAACACATTAATTATGACACATTTATTTCATGTTAAAAAACTGGTTGCAGTGGTAAAAGTCATAAATAAAACCTAATTGTACCTTGCAAAATTCTCCTCCTCTTCACGGTTAAGTTCTTTAAGACCCTTATTTATGCGTTCCTGTTCCATAGCACGTTCTTCCTCTTCTTTGGCTTTTCGTTGTACTGAGAAAGACAAAAAGAAATTATTTGCCAGATCCCTTTTTCAGAAGACCTGCTCATATCTTTGAAGGTACCAAAGTTGGAAATCACTTTCACTGAAGGCATCACTGGGTTGGACCTTGGATCAGGGAGAAAGAAGCAGCTCTTGTATGCAGGATCCATACTGACTTCCTCTTGGCCAATTTTTCTTATTAATAAGAAGGATTATAAAATAAATATTCTATAATAGATAAAGTTCTTATAAGATGATAATAAAAATTTAGGCATCCCAATAGAAAATAAGACAAAGGAAACAAAGAGCATTCGCAAAAGGTTAAGTACAACCAACCACATATTCCTAACTCATGAGGGAAAATTATAATACATAGTGGAAATACTCAAAGTTAGGAACAGAGAATTCTTGGGTGGTATTCCACAATTCCTGGAATTATGTTTGCTTCTGTTTCTTTGTTTATAAATAATACCAAATATTCAATAATTTTAAATTATCATTGATGAATATAAAAACCTTCTTAGTTTATAAGCACTCTTCTCATTTTCTAAAAATTCCATCTAATACTGGCTTAACAATTTTTGAATGCTGTGATAATTCCTGGGGTGAATAATTAATCAATAGAACCAGGATTAGTTTTCTTTTGGGAAGTGGGTGGTACTGAGAATCAAACTTGGGACCTTGTGCTTGGCAGGCAGGCACTGTGCTGCACATCCCCTAGTTTGTTTGTTACAAAGTGCACTTATATGAGACCATTACCCTAAGATTAAATGTGTCTATCTAGTGCACCTCTGGCCAGTGACAGAAATCTGAACATTGCAGTTAACGCTCTCAAAATACATTACTCTGTTGGACTGGCGAGATAGCTCAGTGGTTTAAAGTGTCTTCTTAGGCAAGCGTGCAGGGACTGTAGTTCAATCCCTGGCACCACATGCTGTGCCAGCCCTGTCCCCAGGGTGAGCTAAGCCAGCCACCAAAATAAATAAATAAATAAATTACTCTGTGACCAAGTAGAGGCTGAGGGAATAGTAGTATAGTGTATTATAAGAGACATATTGTAACCATGAGATTAAAAGTAGCCATGCAGCCCACTTAGGTACCCCACAGGGTTGACACTATATGTCACTTGGTAGCACGATGCGACCAGGTCCAGTGAGTCCAGGAGACAAGACCACCACTGCACAGATATAACTCTCAGAAAACTTAAAGCTTATTCTTGTAAAAATAAATTAAGCTCCTTTATGAAGGAAACAGTAACTGATAAGGACTGGATTCAGGCATAGAAAGGGGGAAGAATTCCCCAAATTTCGAGAATGTTCTCCAGATAGAAATCCTCCTGGTCAGTTAGTCGCTGAGATGTGAGCAAAGCACAGTACAAGCCCTGGCGAGAGAACTTTTTTGAGTGGAGAAACACAAGTATTTGAGCTGGCCTTGAGTCTCAAGCTCAAGAGCATCCACATGCCGAAAAAGCTTACTAAGCAAAGATACCAAAATGGAAACACCACTGGAAAGAGAAAAAGACAAAAAGGGTGAGGGGGAGATGGTATGCCACTTTCCCCTGTGCTCTGTAATCACCAAAGTACACAGCATTCAAATGACGTACTTTAACTTTGAGAATCTCTCCTGGTGCTGCTCAGAATCTGCTGGAATGTGAAATTCTTCATACCCACTTAGATAAAGTTTACAAAAGAAAGGATCCTACTTCAATTTTTGCCTTACTCCTAATATAGCATATGTTCCTACTTAAATATCTCAGTTGTTACCTAAAGTGAAGTAAGGGCAAACACTAAAATAAGTGTAATTCAGTTCCTTACATTTTTCTTGAACTTGGAGTTTTCTTGTACACATGACTTCATTCATGAGTTGCTTTCTTGCCTGCTTTTCAAGTCTCAGCTCCTTGTCCTTCTCAGCCAACTTCTTTTGCTTCTCTTCCTCTAATATTTTGTCCAATTCTTTCTCCTGAGCTTTTTCTTCCTCACGTCGCTGTAGCAAATATTTAAGATATATCTTCTGTTCTCTTACCATGTCTTCCTACATAACACATACATTTAAAATTTTTAGGTATGACAGTGATGCTAAGTATGTTTAAAAATAAAGATACAATCCCAATCTTTTGGAGCCATGTACTAAAATATTTGTAGCTCATCTATTATGTCTAGGGCTTACTTCAAATACTGAAGAGCACTGGTGGGTATAGATGAAATCAAGAAGGGGTAGGCATGGTGGTAGACACCTGTAATTCCAGCATTTGGAAGGCTGAGGCAGGAAGATCACTGTGAGTGCAATGGTAGCTTGAACGACACAGTGAGATCCTGGAGAAGCAGGGGGTGGGGGGGAGAGACTACTAATTGATGACTTCTGAAGCTAGGTGATGAGATACATAAGGACTCATTATTACACTGGTTTTTGTATCTGTTTGAATTATTTCACAATGCTTGATTGAATAAATGCATTAAAATATTTTCCAAAAGGGTTTCTTAAAGCAGTTTCCAAATCATTTTCAAAAATAAAAGTTAAGTTCCCTTAGGTTGATGCAATTTTTTTAAAAAATGTATTTGGTTGTTCCAAGGTCTCACTACACAGCTCCGACTCATGGTGATACTCCTGCTTTCAGCCTCCCCAGCACTGGGATTACAGGGGTGCACAAGCATACCTGGACTCTGGCCCTCTCAACTCACCCTGTGGGTGGGGCTGGCCTGGCATGTAGTGCTGAGGATCGAACCACAGTTCCTGCACTTGACTAAGCTTACCTAAGCAGGCGCTTTAGTCCACTAGGCTATCTTACTGGCCCCAGTTGATGTAATCTTTTTTTTTTTATTACAGTTGATATAATCTTAACCTTACAAAATAAGTCACTATAGCTATTATAGCACTGTCATCCTGAGTGGTAATCATCTAATAATTACACTCTGGAATAACCTAGGGAAACTTTAGGAAGTACTAGAGAGCACTGAGGGGGCACCTTAGCTTTAGAGTACTTACTTAGCAATGCACAAGGTCTTAGGCTTCATCCCAACCACTTCAAGGAGGAAAACAACCCCCAGAGCCTTTGCTTTAATGGATAACTTTTAAGTTTCCCAGGTGAGTATAATATGCAACTCTTGGCTTAGTATGCAGTTATTTTTAACTCACTGCTTCCAAGTAGCAGCAATGATCTGATGACGTGAATTTTTTTTTTACAGTACTGAGGACTGAACCCAGGGCATGAGGCAGCGCTGCCAGGCAAGTGCTCTGAGCTACCGCCTCAGCCTTTTTTATCTTAAGATGGGAATCTCACTAAGTTGTCCAAGTTGGGTTCAAATTCTGATCCTCCTGCATCACCATGCCCCTGAAATTATAGGTGTGCATCACTGAGCCTGCCATGAGTTCATCTAAATAAAAGACAATTGACCAACTAAAAAATGGGCAAAGGAGGTCAGTAGACTTCAGAGTTTTCCCAGGAACATGTATAAATGGCCAATCAGCATAGGAAAAGAAGGTCAACATGATTAGCTTTAGGGAAATATAAATGGCATTATCATTTTGGAAAACAGTTTGGTAAAAAGTTTAAACATAGTTATGTTATGACCATATAATTCTACTCCAGGAAGTGTGCCCAAAAGAAATGACAACATACACCCAGGTAAAAACTGTAAGTCAATGTTCACAGCAGCATTATTCATAATAATCCAAAAGTGAAAACAACCCATATGTCTATTAGCTATTATAAATAAACAAAATTGACATAGTCATACAATGGAATATTAGACAGTCAAATAATAAAATGGTACATGTTGTAACATGGATAAACCTTGAAAACATTATGCTAAGGAAAAGAAGCCAATGAGAAGGTCATATAACATGATTGCACTCATGTGATAATCCAGGGTGAAAAAATCTATAGAGATAGAAAATAGGATAGTAGTAGCATATGGGCTCAGGGTAGGTAAGAAGAATCAGTGAAAATGTTTTAAACTAGGCTGTGGTTATGGGTACACATTGCCTATATACACACTAAATTCCACTGAACTCTGCACTCTAAATGGGTGAGCTACATGTTATATGAATCATAGTTCAGTAATTGTATTTTCAAAATATGATTCAATTGAAAAAACTTAACTAAAAACACAAGCAAATCAATTACTAATGTGCAAGAAATGTGAAGAGACAGTTCACTAAAGGTGACATACAGATGTCAGATAAGAATATGAAAAGTTGCTCAGCATCATGTGCCATTAGAGAAGTGCAAATTACATGTTAATGAGATACCACTATATATCTATGAGAATAAAGTTATCACTACACATCTTTCAGAATAAAGTAAAAATAGTTACAACATCAAATGTGGAGAAACTGGATTGCTCTTGCCCTGTTGGTGGGAAATACAACTATCCTAAAAAAGTTTTACAGCTTTCTTTCCTTCCTGCCTGCCTGCCTGCCTGCCTGCCTGCCTGCCTGCCTTCCTTCCTTCCTTCCTTCCTTCCTTCCTTCCTTCCTTCCTTCCTTCCTTCCTTCCCTCCTTCCCCTCCCCTCCCCTTCCCTCCTGTCCTCCCTGCTTTCCTCCTTCCCTCCCTCTCTCCCTCCCCCTGTCCCTCTCACTGTTGGAGATCAAACTCAGGAGCCTACAATGCCAAAACCCCCATTGTGCTCTACCAGTTAGCCACACCCCATGCCCCAGAACTTTCAGTTTCTTCATAAAATTAAATATGCAACCACCATATGACCTAGCAATTATACTTCTGGGCGTTTATCCCCCAAAATGAAAATTTGTGTCCACACAAAAAACTATAGTCAAATGTTCATAGTAGTTTTACTCAGAATAGCCATAAATTGGAAACAATACAAATATATTTCAACAGGTGAGTGGTTAAGAAATTTGCAGTAAATTTTTACCATGATTCCTATTCAAGAATAAAAAGAAATGAACTGCTGATAGGTTTAATAACTTGGATAAATCACCAAGGTTATGTACAATAAAAATATCAATTCCAAAAGATTGTATAATACACATCCTTTCCTTTATGTAACATTCTTGAAATGAAATTATCAAAAATAGAAAAGGCTATGGTTAGCAAAGGATTCATTAAGGTGAGGGGTCGGGCAAAAGATTGATTACAAAAGGGTGACACGATGGATCCTTGTGGAGATGGAAATGTTCTGTATTTTGACTGAATCAATGTCAATATTCCAATCTTGATATTGTACTGAAGGCTTTTTCTTTGGGAGGAGGAGGGGGCACAGTATCAGGAATCAAACTCAGGACCTCATACTTGCCAGGCAGGTGCTGTGCCACTGAGCTAAATCCCTGGCCCCTATATTGGACTTCTGCAAGATATCACAATTATTTCTTAAAATGGCATGTGAATATACAATTATCTGGAGAAAAGTTTCACTGAAAAGCAAGGACAAAAGTGGCTTTCAGTGGCATAGAGTGCCCTAGCATCTGCAGGCCCTGTGTTCAAGCTCCAAGACACTCCAAAACCCAAACCAAACCAAACAATCCAAAAAACAAAGCACCTGTAGGAAAAGCACAAAACTTTTCCAAGTTCAGTACAAATTCCAAAGGTACAAGTAGCTAAATAAATATAAAACTCCTTTCCCTAATCTCTTCACCCTAAGATCTTACATATTCTGCAAGTTTCAACTTAAATGCCACTTTCTCCATGTTGACTTCCCAAATTGCAGAAGTTCTCAAACTTGAATGAGCATGACTAATCACCTATGGCTGCTTATTAAAAGACAGACATCTTGTTCCTGTGAGATTTAATTTGGAGATTCTAATTCTGAAGTGTGTGGATTTGTCTCCCATCTCCTTTGGATGGTGCTGGTGCTCAGAGCAGCACCATTATACTTTGGGCCACTTTCCACCTGCTTGAGAACTCAACAGGTAATCCTCTGAGCACCTACTATGCGCTAAATAAATGTCTTACTCTTTTTTGCTTCTTTTTATCTGTCTCTTCCTGTAAGTCTTGAAGGGCTCTCTGCACAAGCTTCATGTTCAAATCCTGCTCTTCCCTGTATTCCTGCTGAAGATATTCCATCTTCTCTTGTAAGGCCTTCTGTAAGACATTTCTAACTTCCTGTTTTGTCCGCTGTTCCTTTAGCTTTTCTTGTTCATGTTCAAGTTTAACCTGTGCATTGTCCTTTTCCTAAGGTTGAACAATAAGAAAGATAATGCATCAATCACTACAGTTGGACGAAACTTGTTCTATGAAATGAGACTAAGCGATTTCTTTGAGATCCGACATATGAATACACACACACACACACACACACACACACACACACACACACAAATTGAGAGTTACTATAAGAAATAAAACTTGCTTTTTCATGGCAGAGTTAGCAATAAAGCTTCAGAAAATTGCTGCATCTGTATGTGATTATTAGGTAACAAGTAACTGCGGATTTTGAAAATGCAAAAAAGTATAAAGAGAAGTCACCTTCAACCCCAGTCCGCATCACCCACCAGTACTGTTAGTATTCTGGCGTACTGACCTCTGTGCAGCTGTGCACCTCTATGAGGGCTGACTGAAAACTAAGGTGAATGCTTAAATTTTTAAAAATATATTTACAGTAAAAGACACAGTGCCTTTACTCCTCAACATACTTTCCCTCAGCCCCGACACCCTCATCCCACTGCGCCTACCACCTCTCAAGCAGCTCTGGAAGTCCTTTCCTTAGTTCTTTAGTTGCACTGTCGTGGCTGCTTTCATGTCCTGAACTGAGGCAAAATGTTTATAATATATGGCCATTTTGACTCTGGGGACGAATAGAAAGTCACATGGTGCCAGATCCAGCCAGTGACACAGATGGGAACTCGGCATAATGTCTTCACGAGGCTGCCTTTCCCTTGGCTCACACTGGGCAGCAGCATCCACCAGACAGTATTTATTGTCACACCTCATAAAGACACTCGTGGTTCGACCCCTGGTGCCAAAAAATATAAATAAATAAAAAATAAAGGGACTCATAAAATAAGGCTTTCAGAACTACTTCAGAAAGTGACAAGAACGACGGGATAAATATGTTTAAAGCAAGTAGTATGTTGAGGATTAATGGCAATGTCTTTTACTGAAATAAAATTTCTAAAATTTAAACATTCACTCTATATTTCAATCCTACCTCATAGATTTGCATACATTATTAAACAGCAATAAGAATCCCCAAATGGAAATGTGCTCCTTGTAAACCTGCCCGGGCCCTCAGGCACGCTGTACAGTAACAAGCCTGCAAGTTGTACTCCTCCACCCAAGAGGCCATCACCCCCTCACAGCACAGGAAAATGCCCACCAGCAGGCGTGCCTCCTCTTCTTTCAGCCGCTGCTCTGCCTGCCTCTGCGCCTGCATGCTGGCAAGCTGGGCATCCAGCCCCAGGCGCGTGTTCTCCACCAGCTCCTTCTGTCTCCTCTCCTGCTGGGCTTCTCGCCTTTCTTTGGCTAAGCGGTCTTCCTCCCAGAGCCTTGCGAACATCTGCTCTTCTATCACCTTTTGCCTCTTTTGCTCTTCATTAAAAGCTATCTGTGCTTTCCGCTCCTCACACACCGTCTTCTGATGGAGGCAGAACAATTCGTTACGGAGCTCTTCACAGCGTTCCCTAAAGAATGGTTTTGAAAAGATGAAGTATTTCGTGAGGCACTGCTCTATTTAGGCACATACCTCCAGCCATTCACAGCAGCAGGAAGAATCAAAGACCTGGATGTAGGCCATCTGTGCACAGGAAACATGAGGGAGCAGCATGGACACAGACACCAGGAAGCCCCTCTCAGACCAGGCACCAGAGTCAGGAAGAGCAAACTTGGAGTCCTAGTTCGCCATTTCCTGTGTGACTATGGATCAAAACCTCTGCCTATCAGAACTTGCTTCCTCATCTATAAAATAATTGCCATTCAAGTTTCTGGTACAACTGAGAAAGAACAGATGTAAATGCCTGACAGATGGGGGCTCAATAAATGGTGACTATTACCTATTACTATTACTGTAGAGGAAATGCAGGAGTGATGGGTACCACAGAATTGTGCTACCAAGGAATGGGTCTATATAGCCCAGGTTCTTGCACACAAGGAAAGAACAGCCAAGTGTATATCCAGTAGCAAGCAGCAAGCAGCTATATTTATTGAAGATCACAGGAAGCTATACTTAGGGAAAGTCTGTGCCTGCAGAATATAAGGCAGTCAGAAAAGGTGGCAGGGTGACAGACAGTAAAAGCATTGCACAGAGGACACAGTGCACGGAAACAGCAACAGCAACATCACACTTAGATAAAACAGGCTTTTAGAGTTGGAAGGATTTGCACCTAAGCCCAGGTATCTCCCCTTGAATCTGTAGCTGTGACTGACAGGAAGGATTGACAGTGTGCTGAGTCATCTTAGGGGCTCTCCACATGCATGCCTGTCCCAGAATTCACTATGACTTAATTAATGAATGACACATTTAGGATGTGAGAATAGGTGAAAGTGACTAAGGTCAGGCATGCATGTGCTCTCACCTAAAGCATCAAGGATCTGCTGGGGCTTTGTTAGTTTATTTTCTATTTCTCTTAGGGCAGTGGAAGCAGGAATGACCATAGGATGCTACTTAGAATTAAGTGAGTAGAAGGGAGTGACTCCCTCAGGTCCATTGTTTATAACTGTACTATTTAGTGGGTTAGGGATTAGTTAAGAGCCTTTGCTACCACTTCCAAGGAAAGCCCTAAGGATGGGGTAGGCATATCATACCAAAACTTCTCCATTGCTCCTATAACCCTGGCAAGGCCCATGTTCATCAACGAGGTTCCTTTCCAAGTTAAGGACACAGCCCTACTATTGCTACCCTTCTGCCTTTTCACACCCAGCCTGATGTACCATCCAGGAAGAAATGCTCTTTCAGTAACTGTTCAAATCCCACCCTTCCTTTCAGTTTAGTAAGTCAAATGTCCTTAAAAGTTCTTCCTTGAAAAAAAAAAAAAGAAAAGTTCTTCCTTGAGCCCATGATGGTTTGAATATGCTTTACCAAGGTTCATGTACTAGAAGTTTGGTCCTCAGTGGTGTTGAGAAGTGATGGGCCTTTAAAAAGGAGGTGCCCAGTGGGAGGTCATCAGGCCATGGGCAGTATCCTCATGCATGGGTTAATGCTATTATAAAGAGCAAGCCCCATCCTCTTGCTTTTTCACTTGTGTATGTGCCCCTTCTGCATATGGCAGGTTCCCCTGCCACTTTTCCATCGTGTTATGCTTCTGCCAGAGGGCCCATGCTAGAACACTGACACTGTAGTATGCATACTCTTCACCAGAATAGCGCATCAAATAAACCTCGTTATAAGTTGTCTAGCCTCAAATATTTTAATTTAATTTTATTTTGAAACACAAAAGCAAGAACAAAAATCAGAAACAAAGACAGAAACAGGGCAACATACAGTAATACACGTCACAGATTTTCAAACCAATAATAGTTAATTAACGTTTGATATATTATCTATTTTTTATCATCAAATCTGTTGCTCAGATTAACAGATATAGTTATGTAAAACTGGACACATGGTTGATTCCTGCTTTCTTTCAAGAAAACTTAAACCCTCAAATATTTTGTTTGGGAAAAAAATAACTATAGCCACTCTGGAAGTTTAGGAATTTCTTTAAAAACCAAACATATACATATGCTCCAGCAATAGCATATAGCAATTTTCCTAAAGAAATAAAAACTCATGATTACACAAAAAACAAATATTACACAAATATTTCTTTAAAATTCACATATAATACCCATAAACTAAAAACAATGAAAATGTTCTTCAGTAAGTGAATGGTTTAAACAAACAAGCACATCCATTTAATGTACCAGTAAAAGAAAAACTAGCAATAACTGCAACTACTTGGAAGGACTTCAAAGGCATTATCACACTGAGTGGAAAAAGCCAATCTTAAAAGATCACATATGAAGACTCCACATTTTAAAAATTGATGAAATTATGGAAGTAGAGATTTAGTGGTTGACGGGTAAGAAATGCTGTGGATGACTTCGATGAGAGAAAAAGGATAGCAGACGGGAAACCTCCGAGGTGAAGGATGGTTGAGTGTTTCCTTTCTTCTTCTAGTTATGTCTTCAAAGCCTCATGCAGTCTAGTAGGGACAGGGTCAGAGGTAGTTGGATCTAGGGAATGTGATGCTGGGATTAAAGATGCTTCATCCTGGATGTGGGACACTATCAATAAGATTATAGACTGGATAGAATATAAAAGCAACTTATGCTACTGCTGCTGCTGCTTGCGCTTTTCTGCCAGCCCTCCCATGCCATGGACTATTTCTCTTCTCTGGCATGCTGCCCAGTGGGGAGCCAGATGATTATGGACTAAAACCTTTACAAACTGTGGGGTGGAATAAACCTTTCCTCCTTTAACTTTGGGTGTTGGGCATTTTGTCTTAGCAATGAGAAAAGATACCCTCCTAAGCCTCAGGTACTCAAATGGAGCTTCTGGAAGATGACTGGATCATAGGTATGTGATAGTGGATTAGTCCACATTGGAAGGCTGGAAAGTACATCAGGTGGGGAAAGCTGAATCATTGTAGACATGGCCCAGAGGAGTATGAGTTTCTCCTTTGATGTCTGATGAGTACACTGAATGCCCAGGATCTAAAAATGGGATCATCATAGGTAGGGATTGGAAGTGAATCAGAAGTCCAGGTGATCAGACCCTGAGGATCAGAATACAGGCATTCAATGAAGAACAGGAAGACTAATACACAGCACAGACAGAGACTACAGCAGTAGGGAACAAACCCAACTTTGTCAAAGACCTGCTAGGACAAGACTTTAAAAGAACTTCCTGCCAACACCAAGAATGAGGTTAATAGCCAAAATTGTAGAGGACCTGAGCAGCTCTCCTTGAAAGAAGAAAAATCATCTCCATTTTGGCCAAGCCTGACCCTATATCCTTGTACTGATAAGTACAAAGCTGGCTAGGACTTTTCCTTATCCCTTCAATTGGCTTTAAGCAATGCATATTGGTCTAGCCAAGGTGCTGGTGGCAGTCTTTGAAGACAGCACATGTGTTTTGCTGGTAACCCCTACCTGCTGCTCTTTAATAGGAGCTGGGTTGAAGCAGGACAAAGAGCAAATGCTCCACACTGTTGGCTGAGATCGAGCTGGGGCTTGAAAGATTACACATCAGAGCTGAAGCACTGGACCCCAAAACATCAGATACTATATCAACAGTTCAATGCAAATTACTTTTGCTGCATATCCTTCTCACCACATGTGGCATAGATAAATGCAGATCTTCTACCTAGCCCAGCTCATGTCACTCACGGACTTCCCACCACTCAGTCACTCATCCTCAAGCCACTCCCCTCTTCACAAATGAATAAAAAGATAGGTTTGGTTTTGAGTAAGGGCCTTTTTCTCAGATAGCCATCACATGGCTGGACTTAGGATTCCTTGGCTCCCCATAACTATAAATATGCCTTCACGTCCTTATTCTCACAGTGGCTTGAACTGGAAGTGGTAGATTGGAATTAACTTGATGGGATTCCAATAATGTATCCATGGGATTACAATTATAGATGAGGACCAGGAATGGCTCTCTACAAAAATAAGTAACAAAATCAGTAATAAAATCACTTGGTACTTCAGTCAGTACCCTTATTTTCTGTTATCCATAAATATAATTAGCAAAGCTTAAAGCTATGATAACTGTACACACTCCCCTATAATTTACTGTAAATTAGAATTTCTAAATGTTTTTAAATATGCCAAATGGAGAATCTATGTGTTTCACCATTCCATTACCTGAACTGTTGGTCTAACTTTGCAGCCACAAAATTCTGTCTTTCTCTTTCTTTCTTCTCTTTCAATAACTTGGTTTTCTCTCTCATTTTATCTTTTTTCTCCTCAACGGTTTCTTCTTTCCGTTGCATTTCAATAAAATATTCATTTTCTTCTGCCGCTAACAGTTCACGTAACCTAAAACAGACAAAAAATGTGAAACTGTCATGCCATTTTATTGCTTTTTGCTATACTAAATTTTAAAATTATCAAATCATGAACTTTGTAGGAGAAAAAGATCATCATAGTCCTCCATAAAATAAGACATTGATCTGTGCAATATTTTATTTGATCATATACAGATGGAATATGATGTATCTTCAAGAAAAGAAGTATAATGGACAGATTTCAACTTAAGAAACAAAATGCAAAACAATATATTCTTTTGCTTTCTATCAAAAGTAAAAATATTAATTACATCTTGCACTGTGGGAGGGACTTGGTCAGAGCCAGGAGGCCTGTTGTTGTGTGTGAACTATGTTAGAGGCAAACTATGGGGCCACTGAAGACGACAATTTGGAAGAAATGGAAGAGGAAGTACGGCTTAAGAGAAAAAGACAAAGAAATGTGGACAAAGATCCTGTGAAGGAAAATGTAGAAAAATCTAAGAGGAGGCAAGGCCGCCCTCCAGCTGAGAATCTGTCTCCAAATCCCTCCAAACTGACAAAATAGATGAACACTATCATTGGTACTGTGATCAACTACAAAGATAGTTCAGGTGGCAGCTCACTGGAGTCTTCATTCAGTTACCTTCCAGGAAAGAGTTACCAGAATACTATGAATTAATTAGGAAGCCAGTGGATTTCAAAAAAATAGGGGAAAGAATTTGTAATCATAAGCACCGGAGCCTGGGTGACCTGGAGAAAGATGTCATGCTTCTGTGTCACAATGTTCAGACATTCATCTTGGAGGGATCCTAGATCTATGAAGACTCCATTGTCTTACAGTCGGTGTTAAGAGTGTGAGGGAGAAAACTGCCAAAGAGGAAGAAAGCAATGAGGAAGAGGAAGAGGAGTCTGAGGCAAAATCTGCTAAGATGAAAATCAAGCTCAATAAGAGATAAGAAAGGCTGGGACAAAGGAAAAGGCCAAGAAAGGGCCAAATCGAGGTAAGCAAAGCCAGTTGTGAGAGCCTTTGACAGCGATGAAGAGCAGGATGAAAACAACCAGTCGGAAGCAAGTGGGATGATGAGTGACCCCTGTCGTGGACCTGAGTATTTTTCCTCTCTTCTCCCATTTCTACCCGGTGGCTTTACATGTCCTGTGGCCACTGGGTTCTTTGTGTCCTCCTCCTCATCTTATAAACTAGCTTTAGAATACTGCCAGACAAACATATGATATCATGGTATAAAAAACACAAAGTTTGTAACATCTTGTGACCAAATGGGTCTCAAAGATTAAAGCAAACAAAAGCTTTTGATGGAAAATGTGGGTGGATAGTATATTTCTATGGGTGGGTGTAATTTGGTAAAGGTTTGTGCCTGGTTTTATCACCTGTTTGGATGAGATTTTTGTCTTTTGTAGCACTGGTAACCAGAAGAAGCCATGAAAAGCCACTCGTTATTTTATTTTTCATCAGGCAATTTTCAAGATTTTTATTTGTTCGGTATTTTTTTTTTTTTTACACTGTGGTACATATAAGCAACTTAAAAATGCTGTTTAAATTGTATAAGATTTATGTTTACTGTAAACGTTGCTTAATTTTTTTTGCTCTTGATTTTAAAAAAATTTTGTTGAAAACACTATTGAATATTGTGATCTAGGGGGCCTGGCCTTAGCTCAGTTGTTTAAGTGGCTGCTTCCACAATGCTGTCAGCCTCAGGTTGCTGTAGTTCGATCCCCACAACACACCAGCCAGCCAAACCACCCCTTAGGGCATTTAGAGAAAAAAAAAAAAAAAAAAAAAAAAAAAACTTAATATTGTGATCTATATATATATATAGTGTACTAGATGGCTTCTTTTGTCCACCTGATTTCCTACGTCACCAGTTTGCATTGTCTCCATCTCCCTAAAGTGTACTTAATCTTTGCTTTCTTTGAATAATGTCTTTGGGTGCAAGTCATAAGCCTGAGGCAAATAAAATTACAGTAATTTCAAAAAAAAAGTTAAAATATTTATGTGCAATAGCTATTGTTTTTTTGTTGTTGTTGTTGTTTTTGCTTCTGATTTAAACATGAATAACTCAGCCATGATATTGGCTATACTTGAATTCTTATATATTTTGTATGTGTGTGTGTTTATGTGTGTGGTACCAGGGGTTGAACCCAGGGCTTTCATATTGATCTACATCCCCAGGGCTTTTTCTTTTCATTTTGAGACAAGGACTTGCTAAGTCATTAAGCTGTTTGCCCAGAGTGGGCCTGAATCTGTGATCCTCTCCTTACAACATACTGTACCAGAGGGCTGGGACTCTAGTCCTGCATCACCATGGCTTACACTTGATTTTTTGACACTTGGTTTTCTTACACTTGATTTTTCTGACAGGCCAATATCAAGGTATGGTTTCAGAAATGCCTTGGAGTATGGGTCACTAGGTTTGTAGGCTTACTTATTTCGCCTTTCTTCAGTGTTGATGATAAACCCTTGCATGGCATCTTTAATTCTTGCTTGCACAAGGCTGTGAAAATACTTGCGATCAATGTGCTGATCCCACTGCACTTTCAGGCGATCCTGTTCAATTGACTTAATGGAAGCCAAAGTAGCATGATGCTTCTGGTGGCTGCGTTTAATTCTTTCCTGATGTTGCTCAGTTCCTGGGCCTTTGGGAGGCTTGGCTCTCTTAAAATACAAAATCAACTATCACTTATAATAAACCAAATGTCAATAGCATATTTTCAAATAATACCTTACCAATAGCCATACTCATAATAAATATTGGGCATAAAAAGCTAATGCATCTTGTTAAAACTAAAAACAGCTTAAGCATACAAGGAGTAACTTGTTTCATTCTGAGCTTATACCTAAGATGTCACCAAATCAGTCTCAAATACAGATGCTCTTTGACTTATGATGGGGCTATTTCCTGACAAATTCATTGTAAGATGAAAATTGCATAAGTAAAAATGTGTATTAACCACACCTAATCTACTGAACATCACAGTTTAGCAACACAGTACACTGTGGACAGTATTTCATATTTGCCCTCATAATCTTACATTCACTGAAAGCTATGACTTGATGCTCTCCCCAGCATCTGGATATCATCACACTATTCATTGCTAGCCTTGTGTCTTACTTTTTCATTACTCAGACAAAATACTTGAGACCCATTAGTTAGGAACAAGTTTATTCCAGCTCACAGTTTATAGAGATGTCAGTCAACAGTAGGCTGCTTCCAAGTCAAGGTGGCATGGCAAGGGAGAAACAGTCCATGGCAGGGCAGAATGAGACAGCAAAGCAGCAAGCTTCTCTTTATTTATTTATTAAATGTATTTGGTATAGGGTTTCTTTATGCTGCTCGGACTCATAGTGATCCTCCTGTTTTCAGCCTTCCCAGCACTGGGGTTACAAGGCATGCACCACCATGCCTAGTATCAGTGGCTGGCTCAGTATGCCTGGGGGTGGGGCTGGCAGGGCATGTGGTGCCTGGGATCGAACTCTGGTCTCTGCGCTTGCCCTATGCAGGCCCTTAGTCCACTGAGCTATCTTGCCAGCCCCCTCCCTTTCCTTTTATATTCTGTTCAGGCTGCAAACCTACTGAATGGTGATATCCACACCCAGGGTGGGTCTTCTGTCTTCTATAAATCTATTCAGCCACACCCAGAACCATGCCAAACCAATCAGTAGACTAATCCAGTTATCACACACCCACAGTCAATATTCACACAACCTAGATCCAACCATCTCTGAAAGGCCCCAACTATGAGCGCATGAGACTTTGCCTGTGTAGGGCAGACATTTACATATAAGTCATAACATCTTAGAATAGACCCAAGTTCAAAATTCAAAGTGGACTTTCTACTGAATGCCTATTACTTTTGCACCACTGTTAAGTATCAAAGAAGGTCAAATCATAGTTTGTAAATTGTATTTTTAAAATGTTGTTTGAAATTATAAATTTCATATTTTTATAGGACTCTGGAGAGTATTTAGTCAAAACCATCTGCTCAAGGTGGTTCAAATAATAAAGGCAGACCAGATAGTACAAGAATTACAGGTCTTTAGTCAGGCATATGCCTGTAACCCCAGCACTTGGCAGGCTGAGGTAGGAGGACTGCTGCAAGTTTGACGCTAGCCCTGGGCTACATAATAAGTTCAAGGTCAGCCTAACAATACAGTGAGACACTACCTCAAAAAAAAATTTAGGTCTTTCCATTCCTTACTTTGATCTTGACACCATTACATAGTGTTACACCATAAGACACAATACCACCATTAAAATACTTTCAATAAGAAAAGACTACCACCTAAGTCTGTCTATAGGCTATAGAAAAGGGAGTGGTCAGATAGCACAAGAGAGCTATGAAAATGAACTAAGGAAAGAAGCAATGTAGCGAGGAAGGAGGGGGAGAACAAAGAAAAGACAAATAGAAAAAAAGCTGTGGCAGAACATTATTCGTATTTCTATGGTTTCCAGAAGTTTGGATACTTCCAGCCCAAGCTTGGTATTTCCAGCAACAGTTTTATTTCATCATCCTTAGGTAGGGTGTGAGCTTTGGGGGTTCTGAATCACAGTAAAAAAATCCTGAAGTTATGAGGCAGAGAGTCATTCTGGTAAATTATATTTAAATTTTATCAGTGTCAGGATTACCAGAATATGGGTGCTTAGTATTTGTGATAAAATCTGGGAAAAGAAAACCAGTATTTGAAAATGGCTTGATCAAAGATTTTGGGCTTGGAGTCCCATATCAGGCACCTACATGTAACTGAACAAGATACAGCCAGTCTAAAGTAGGAGGGAAAACGATGCTGGAAGTCCTATGAGAAGTAGCCAATCTGCATTAGAAATATTCGGAGCCAGAGAACTACTATTCTCTAATATTTCTGGCACTTTGTGAATGCAGAATTTGTGACAGCAAGGGCCACCACAGAACTCAGACTCCTGGTATACATGTGGGCTGAAAATAGGAAACATGAGCTGAGGTCATCTATAAGCAATTGTCTTGAGTTGTCAGGATAGAACTAGGCTCTGTGATATCTTTTGTCCAAAGAGAGAAATCGGGGTGAGGAGTGGCAGAAAACATCATGAGCAGTAGCTAGAGGACCAGGAAGTCCGTTAAGCCTTCGGGTATTCAAACTAGACTCCAGTCAAGGGAGGACTGTCTCCAGATGAATCAAATTTGACCTAGAGTTCTCTAACCAAGTGATGCTAAACCAGGCCATCTTGTTATTGCTCAAAATCTGTATTACTCAGTAGAAATATAACATAAAATATATATGTAACTTCTAGTAGCAACATTTAAAAAGTGAGAAAAAACATTTTGATAACATTATTTAATCAATATATGCAAATATCAATCCAATATGTGACTCTTGAACATTTCAAGTGGTCAAAAGCCATGTGTGTCAGAAATGGTGACACACACCTGAAATCACACCACTTAGGAAGCTGAGGCAAGAGGATTGCCACAAGTTTGAGGCCAGCCTGAAGACTCCGTGATAAAAAAACAAAAGCCATGTGTGGTCAGTGGCTACCATATTGGACACTGAAGATCTGAAACATGCTGAAGGCAAAGTAACACAGGATTTATTAATGACTTTGTACTTTCAAGGTCACTGAAGGTTTTTGTTACTATTATAGCTTCCAAAAGTACAGTTTACAGTTTAATGTTCTAAGAAGAATCATACCTTCAAACTAAGTTTAATTCTGGCCTTCATCCATCAAAATGTTCAGCAAGTTACTTAATCTCACTCTGAGTTTTCTCATTTGCTGTATGAGCAAAATAAATATCCTTCCAATAGGTGTACAATACATTTTAAATTTTTTTCTCCTGGAGAGTTGTTTAGAGTGCAAGCCTTATCGCTTAGTGGCTTTAATTCTTCCTTTATCATAGTTCTATTCCCTCTAACGTTTGTATTTCTTATGACACTCAGATAACTGAGGAACATATGCACCAACTCTGGCCCCTCTTTTTCTCCTAATTCTTCTATAAGCACAAGTCTTTAATAACCCTGCTTTTTTGATTTGGGGTATTTTTTGCTGTTCCTTATTGGTTTCCAACATAAGTAACTGCCAGCACCCAACAAATGGCCCAGCCCCCAAGCACTGTTTGGATAGAGGAACCACAGATCTGTTTCTTTCATTAAATCTGTCAAGATTATCACCTTGAACTCTACAGCCCAAAGAAGCTTCCATTCTACTGAGTTCCAGCTCCTTACCTTACAATACTTGGACCTAGAGAAAATGGAGCAGGTCCATAGGTTGACCTAAATTTGCTGTGTGCCCAGTGGAGAATACAACTATATCCTTGATTATTCTTGATCATTTTTTCACAAACTGACATTGTAGACAATATAGATTATAATTTACTGTTAACCTTTAATGGTTCATGCATGAGCAGGTAGGTTCTGCAATTTCTAAGAGTGTAAGCTTTATGAAGGCAGGGATAATGCTTCTAATGAGGTCTATGTAAACTTTCCAAGGTCACCAGACTCACTTGTTATCTTCCATGTTGCTGTTCACACAGCAGGGGCTGAGGGAATAACCGTAACTGCCTGATGAAGAGGTAGGTTTTCTGCCTGTAAAAACCAATCTGTAGGAACAAAGAACTACAGGTGCTTGGACCAGTAGTTTTAGGGGTTCTCAGCAAGATCTATCAAGCACACAGCATTCCCACTGCCTACTGCCATCACCCCAACGGTGGAGACAACCACCTGATGTGGTCTGCGTGGGAACTTATGTGCCTTGCCTAGTTACTGGTTCGGCTGGCACAGGAAAGCTTCCACAGCCAAACACAACCCCCCACAGTTCAATCCTCCTTTCACAGGTGACTTTACTAGGGGCATAGGCTCAGCCCAAGATCATTCTGCTAAATCTCCACCACCCCAGATCTTGGTGCTTCCCATCCAGTGCCTTTTCTGCGTCTTGGAGACTGAGAAGACCCAAAATCTCAAGTGGTGATTCTCCAAATACAGACTTTTATGTTTTGTGACCGGAGGCTCTGTGGGAGAATAGACCGGTAAGAGAGAAGTGGAAAAAAAGATATGAAAGCCATCTTAGGTTTCTTTAAAAATTCAATCCTTTTAATCCAGCACCTGCTGTCCTAGAGAAAACCCCGCTTAGGAGATGCGCTGCGCTGTACCAGGCTGGAAAGTGTGGATGGAGAGAACTGCAGGGTTCTGCCTCCGTATCTTGCACTTACCACGCTCACCACTTTGGGAGTGGGGCCCTTGACCTCCCGCTGCACGATACCAAACCGCTGGCTGTACATTTTTGGCTCCCGTTGGTAGGAGGAACTACCGTGACCTGCTGAACCAGCCTCCTCTACCGACCCAGAGATCTGGTTGCTATGGTGAGTCTCGAGGCGAAGGAGGGCGGGCAAACGGAAGTTGATCTCGTTGTCATGGGGCCCACAGACGCCGGCCTGCACTTGCAACTTCCTCTTGCAGCCCCAGAATTGGGTCTGCGCCAGCAGCTGAGTTCCGGCCCCTGGCCTGGCTCCTCAAGGGCTCAGAATGGCCGGAAAAACTGCTTTAAGCACAGGAAAGTTGAAGGTCTAATTATAATTCCACTCCACTCTGCTATTTATAGGCTGTGATCGGCATAAAAGCACAGGGAAGACTGGCGGACATTTTGTGGGAAGGCTAAATTTTGTAGTAGGTTATTCTCAATAATGGCGATAATAATCACAAGACAACCTTGTATTTATGTAGTTCTTTACAATTTGCAAGATATTTTCACAGATACAATCCTTGAGTCTGACAAATATCTTACAGGGTTGATGGGAACAGCAGGTATTACTATCCTCACTTTACATCGAAGTAGATTTAAGGCCCAGGGAGCCAAAGTGCTTTATCGAATCATCCAAACAGTAACAATATATCTCTTAATATTAAAACTCAGTCTACTGCACTGGGCAGAAACCAGGGCTTAGATGTAGGGTTACCCTAGGAAAGGGAGATCAAATGGGCTGGTGGGGGCACTGGTGTGACCTGGCTGGGCGCAATTTTTTTTTTTTAAATGTCTGAATCAGGGGGTCACTGTGGACCAGCGTCAGAATGCTGCTCAGAAGTCCAGGTAATCAGTTCCTGAGCATCAGGAGACCAGGCAGGAGAACTGGCAACACAGATCAGGAAACTAGACTGGGCCTTCAGCCTGAGTGGAAACCACAGTTGTATTTCCCATCAAGAGCAAGATGGCAGTACCTAAAAGCCAACTAAGAATGACACTTTGGTACTCCCATTCTAAAGTGGGGCAACACAGAACACTAACTAGAGCACAAGAAAAATACCAGTAACTACGCCAGTCACTGAGGTATACTAATAACCACCTTACAACTAATGTTTACACCCTTTTAAGGCCGCAGTAAATTCCTTGTTTCCTTAATCATTTGTAATTCACCCGCTTCAGATTTTCTATGTGGTACATTTCTAGATCTGGATTCCACTTCCTGAATTGCTGGTTCAGCTTTTCAGTCACAAAATATGTCTTTCTTCTAATAATTTCTTTTAATTTTTTTTTTTCCTTCTACAATGCTTCTTCTTTCATTTGCAGTTCGGTAAAATACTCATTTTCATTTACTGTTAAGAGTTTACGTAGCCTGAAACAAACAAAAGAGAAAGAAGTTAGAAAAATTTCTAGGTTTCCTCAACAGTGTTCTGAAGGGTTGTAGTTCCAGGATGTCTGCATTTGTCTTTTAAACGTTTGGGGTCACTAGTGAGCCTGGGTAGACTCCATCCCACCCTCTCTGGGAGAAGAGACACTAAAAATGGTGCCCGGTGCCCTCCACACCAGCAAAATTGGGTAAGAGTCCGACGACGTGCTGTGATGTTCAGAGCTGACCATCAGAACAAGTTTTCAGAGGCCTTCGAAGGGAAGCCCGTGTACAGCCGACTGCCTTTTTAAATACCATCTCCGGTTTGGAGGCTGTGGTGCCATGCTCTCACCTTGGGAGAGCCTGGCAATTTAACTATGCTTTGGAGTTGTCTTTTTCTCCATTATTTGAACAGAGACAGTTGCTTCCTTTTCACTTTGGCCTACAAACTGGCCTCGTGCAGGGCAGAGGCCCCGCCCCAGGGCAGCAGGGTCAGCCAGCCACCACAGGTGAGGGTAATGATTCTCAGCTGGTTGGAAGTCGTTCATCCAGAACGGCCACCTGGCGGGCCCCTGGAAAGACAGGAGGGCTGGCCAGGTGTCCAGCACTAAGAGCCTCAGATTTCAGTCACCCCCTCAAAAGCCTACAGAAATGATATGCATGGGTCCTTCAACAGAACTGATCCTGATCCTGCCACCCACAGCCTTCGTTTCTCAAGTCAGTCAGTAGACACCATTACCAACATCAAGACACACACCAAAGAAATGTTAAACATACAAATCAATAAGTGGGACAATAAAAATCATTTAAAAGTAATTTTTAAATAGAACTGCTTAGTCAGAAACTAAATTTCCAATTTTTTCTATGCTCCAACAAGGTTCTCACAAAGACTGGATTACCCATATTTTCATGAGTTCCATTCAGCATTACATTCCATGACAAATTTCGAAAGGCATTCACCACTTGTAATACACATTGATACATTAAATAAAATCCCATAGGCCATATCTTAATTTCTGTATCCCAGTATTAAGTACAGTGCCTACCATGGGCCAGGTTCTCAATACCTGAATAGCACAAAGACAGATGAGACCAGCAAGTTTATTCTGGACGAGCGGAGTGGAATTTCTGTACTTGCTATGGTCTTCAGCTTTGCATTTTCATTAATGTAGCTTTATCAAGTTATCCTCAGGTGAGTAGTGAGACTCTCAGGAGCTGATTCGTGGCAAAGTGGCTTTGTAGCATGTCACCTTGGCTAGGCTGTTTCCCAGAACTCCATTCTCAGTGTGCTTCTTGGCTAGGTCAGGCCACAAGAGGCATTTTGCCTGAGAACTGGAGAACAGAAATGAAGTAGCATACTGTTTTCACACTTGGGAGAGGTGAGAGGACACCACGTGCTGCTGCAGTTCACACACGCTGTCACTCATTTGCTGGTTCACCCCGTTGGTGTGGGGCAGCAGATAGGCCTGCAGCTGCTCCATCTTCCCTGGGATCTTCTATCAGTGTTTTTAATCTTGGGCCAGATGCATTAACTGTGAGGAAAAGCACCAGTTTCTTCTGCAGAATATCCACATCACAGTGGGAGACAGGAAGAGACTGATATGGGTGTTCCAGGCCATCCACACTGGTGCTAACTTGCTTGTGGGCTCCAGTGTGTCATCAGTCTCCCACACTTGATATCCATCTTCCCTTCCCAACTGCCTCACTGCAGACTTCAAGCTCCAGCATTAGACAACAGCCTGGCACAGACTGTTTAATCTGCTCCGATAATCACACAGGTTCAAATCCTTCTGACAAACCCCTTGAAATACATATGTAAATCATCTACATCTTGGTGCTTCTGCTCTTCTGATTGTACCCTAATTCACTCATACATTAATAAGATTCTTCACTCAGGAGTCAGAATGCCAGTCAAATAAATTTTCCTTAGAACATCACTGTCAGAATTACGAGAATACTAGGGTGCGGTATTGGACCCTAGGGGGGAAAGCAGTAAGATTACCCAGTCTTGGCTGGGGCTGGGCTAAATAAGGTAAGGCAGAGGACCAGGAGAGGAAAGTGGCAGAGAACTGTATCTTCTGAGTTACAAATGGGAAATGACAAATCCATATCTAAATTAACTACTGCTGTAGGGCTGGGACTAGGTAAGGCAAGGGAGAATACAAAATTTAAGGAGGCACTGTCAGTCTTGGCCCTATAAAGCTAAATAACAAATTACATGTCTGATCTTTTTGGCATGTTATGAATGAAGCATGCTGACTGAGGTAAGGCTGAGCCAAGACTGGCCCTAGAACAGAACTCGAGGCAGGATTTAGCCTTCTAGTAGACATTTGGGTTGAGGGGCAGGAACCAAGCAGGGAGATCATGAGAAGGCAGGAGACACCTATTGCCAGATGGGCCAGGCTGGCAGCTTTAGTTCCAAAGATGGTTCTAAGGTTGGGCAGTCAGTCTGACAAGCAAAATGGACAGCAGGCAATGAGGACACCCTTTAGGGTTTGAAAATTATTATGCAGCATATGGGGCCAGTGGTGAACCCAGTTTCTACAAGAGCTGCTCTGAAAACAAGGTGACCCCATTCATGTAGCTTTGGCACTCCTTAAACCATGCTAACGGTAGGAGTATAACGGATTTATACATTACTTACAGTAATCTACTGTATTTTCAAAGTCACTGAAAACTATCACTGCAATATTACACATTATTGCACATAGGATTGCAGTTAACAGTTTAGTGCCTTAAAGAACAAAGCCTTTATAGCCCAAGTATAATTCTAGCTTTACCAACTGGCTATTTGATACCGGGAAAGTTCATCTCATCTGAGTCTTAGTTTTTTCATCTGCAAAATTGCACAGGTCAATGCTGCCTAAAAAGACTGCTTTGAGGACTCAAAACATTGGATCCAGAAGCTCAATGAACAGCAGTTACTGTCTTTTCCTCATTTATTCACATTGCATTTTCAATTGTTGTCTCCCTGAGAAAATGTTTAGAGACACTGCCAGGTCTCATCAGAAGCCACTTAATTTAGGCAGGGGGCTTAGGTTGTTTGTGGTGGCTTTAACTGCATTCTCTTCCCTGCCAACCTCAACCCCTCAGTCCAATCTCTCCTTTGGGGAGAAGATGCGCCAACTTTCTATTCTGACATTTACAGCTGCTTCCTGTAAGTTTGAAGTACTGAGTAGGCCTGCTCAAGTTTGCTGGGAAGTTTTCCTTTTAGGGTTGACACACACAGCCCTGCAAACAAACTACAGTCCAGTCCCTAGGAGATCAGGGTTGTCTTGTGAAGCCGGTCTGCAAATATCACCTTGAGTTCTATAGTCTGCAGAAGCCTCCAGTCTAGTGCTTTCTAGCTCCAGGGTTTTTAAGGTCCTTGGACCTAGAGAAGAGGGAGCAGGTCTGTATGTTGAATGAGGTTTGCTACGTATAAGTTGGAGTATCACAAAACCATTTCCTACTGTTCTGCATCCTCCACCCATTCATACTTAGTTATCCTCTATCTCTTTTCTTCTTAAATAGTACCAGTTCAGACAGCCCCACATCTTCTCTGTAACACATAAACAGAGAAATGATAGCTCAAGTAGGGAACCTGTGTCTTCTGAAGGCCAAGCTTTATAGGACTCAATACCATCACCACTAGGCCCCTCAAGCTGCTGTGTACCCAATACAGCTCCGTCATTAACTATGTCATACCCTGGGTATAGCTGGAGGGATTCTGGTCTGCTGGAACTGGATTGTAGGAACAACTGTCTTTGAAGTGATGTGCAAGCCCTTCTGTAGAAGTCAGCATTCCCCAGTTTTACTCCCACCATCTCAGGCTTTATAGGCACCTACCCTTATCCTACTGCCAGGTCTAATGGAAAAGTTCTGTACAGTACCTGAAACAGTAACCTCAACAGGAAAGGCTCAAGAAACATCATCTAAGCCCCTCCAGAGGCTGCTCTGGGAGGCACAGGACAAGCCAGAGGTCATGCAGCTGTGTCCACCTAGAGTCAGCTCCAGACCCACACTCCTACCCTATCCATCACTCAGGTTAGCCCAGCACTATCTCTGTGATATCCCCTTTCTACTGTCTGACCATAAGCAGCGGTCTCTCAAGAGATGCAAATGGCCTTGAAGGCCTCAGATAATAATCCTCTGAGTAATTACATAATATTAATTGTGGCCCTTATAGGACTTTAAGGTGGTAGAGACCAAATTTTGCACACAATTATTTTTCTTTAAATTTCATTTTAAAGAGCATCAGGTCTCTTCCCTCTTCCCCAAAATGAGATGCTGATCTGGAATGCTATTGTACCAATCTCAACAGAAATCTCTTAAGGTGCTGCAAACCCTCTGCACTTACTTGCAGCAGATAGACCTTTATCTCCCTCTGCACCCAGTCAAATAGCTGGCTGTACTTTCAAAATTTAGGGTCCACATCTGGCCAGCACCCACCCCATCCCCACCCTTCACTGTGTGGGGCACACCTTGGCAACCAGGCTGCTGTGTCCCGGAAGCGGGTTCCACCCAGGCTGAAAATCTCCGTGATCTAGGAAGAATTAACATCATGGGTCAACATGGCTGGAGGGGCTAAGGCAAGATCAGGGCAGGGACGGGTGTCCCCCAGCACTGACCACGGGTGTGCCAGCCCCTCCTGCCTCCTCCTCTGGGGCCGATTCGGAGACACAGCCATCCTTGTTCTCCTCCTTTCCCTCCTCAGGGTCAGGTGGCTCTTGCTTCACAGGTGGAAGGCCCGGGTCTACTGCCTGGGAGAAGTGGGAAAGGGCAGTAGTTAGAAGGACAGGGTTGGGCTGAGAAAAGTCCCTATCAGCCAACCTGTCACTGTGTTAACAGATTTCACTTCCTTCACAGTTCAGCACAGAAACGCCAGCTTGTGCCTATAATCCTTTTCCATTCCTCACAGGTCTCCATTTTCCTGCAGCAAAGTGGGCAAAGCTAGTTGCCTGTGGATAATTGTGCAGAACAGCCACATCAGCGTACCTATCACTCAGAGTGCGACCATCATAGCTCAATGTCACTCTGCTTACAGACCACCCATTACAGCACCAACAGAACATCTATCACTGCCCCCACCTTGCTAGGGCAGTCAGGCTGCAATGTGGGAGAAGTCAGGACGGCTGTGCCCGGTGTCCACTCTTCGTGGGCATCTGCCTTCTCTTGCTTCACCTGAGGTAAGGCCACAACCCAACTCAGGCCAGAGCACTGGGCCTCCTGCATGAGGGAGGATGGCAGCAGACATAGCCTCAGCTCTCTGGCAGGAGGCTGGGTGGCACTGGGGAAGGGAAGGGTACAGTGGGCCCTCACCTGCAATGGGGCTTCTGTAGAAGCTGTAGCAGGACCCGGCACCTGCACAGGACTGCTGGCGCCCTCCCGCAAAAACACAAGGTCGGTGCCAGGTGGAGGCAGCACAAAGCCACCACCAGCTTCCTGCTTCAGTGGAGCCTGGGCACGGCCTGGTCGGGCTGTGCGTGTAGCCAAAGGGGACTTCATAGTAGGGCCCAGGCGGGGCCGCCGAGCAGAACCTGGCCTCTTTCGACGAGGGCAAAGTGAGGGCGATCCTGCCCATTCCTCAGACCCTGACCCGGTACTGGGCAGCAGCCGCTTCTGTGAGGAGAGATGGGGTACTATGGCCACCGAGTGCCTTGACCAACCACACCCACCCTTCCCTGTTCAGCGTGCCTGCTAACTTCCCATTAGTCCCAAAACAGAATTTCCTTATGTATTAGCCCTGATTGAGCCTGCCAGTCTCCCATTAGCAATGCCTGTGTAACCTAGACTCGCTCACCCCAGCACAGTGTCTACTGCAAGTCCTTGGCTGGAGCCACTGCACCTCCCAACCACCTAACAGGTCTGCCCACCACTCCCAGGCACTGGAGTACCTGGCCCAACCTATCCCATCCACCTGACCCTTCCTGCCCCACCCACCATGGCAAATTGCAGGCATTGGCGCCAACGACACTTCTGGCGCTTCTGGTTGCTGCCCCCGAATTTGGGCTTGTCGCAGCAGAAGTCGCAGTGGCCACAGTCCATCCGCCGTAGGCAGGCTGCACAGGCCCCGCACTTGCGGTTCTGCCGGCGGTTCGTGTAGGGCTGCTGGGGTGGGGGGGGGGGAATGGTGGTGCTGTCACTAGGACTAGGAGAGGCTATTCTCAATGCCCATTCCAGTGTTGTTCCTGGTGCTCCATTAGTCCTGCTGGGGGAGCTACTTGCATTTAGCCTCAGTCTGCTGACTCCCCATTTATCACATTTCAGGCAGGGGCAAGTTCAACATTAGCCACTATTAAGGTGACAGCTGGCCTCCAATGCCATTAGGACTGTGGCTGCTTCATCACGGTATCATCACAGTGTCTGCTGCTCTCTGACCAGCTACCAACATAATGTTTTTGACTCCACATTCAGCAGGACTTTGTTAGCCCTCTGTTTGCTCCTATCAGTTGCTGGCTCTATCTGTTCATCCTGCCTGAACACTAGTCACTAAGCTCCCTGCTCCTCTATTAGCTCCTCCACTGGGTCTGCTGGTCCTGCATTAGCCATCAGTGTCAATTCATCTGACATTAGGCACTGTCACTGCACTTGCTGATCCCATATTATCCCTTCCCCATTACTGCTTATCCTATTCTAATACCCATTTCTGAGCCTTGTTGTGTCCCTATTAGCAACTGCTTTTGAGAGTTTAACCAAGCATCTAGAGTATCTAGGCTTATCCATATAGGGTGAGGCCACTCACTAGCTCGTCCTCGTCTACCCAGTAATAGATGACTTCGGCAGGTGGTGAGGGCACCAGGGCGCTGGCATGCTGCAGAGGCAAACGGGGAGGGGTCAGGGTAGGTACTGGGTAAGGTCAGGGCTGTGCTTTCCCCCTGCCCATCAGGGCCTTACCAGTTCTGCAGGCTCTGGCGGCTCTGTTGCAGGAGGTGTAGGCAGTGCCTGAGCTTGGGAGTGCCGCTGGGCAACCATCTTGGATTCAGAGCCTCCCCTGCGGCGGCCACGTTTACCCTGAGAGAAAGTCAAAAGAATGGTCAGGGCTTCATGGCACCAGTCAGACATAGGATCCCCTGGGAATACACAAAGCATGCACGACAGACCAGGGATAGTGTCACATGCATATAGTACCAGCATTTGGGAAGCTAAGGCAGGAGGATGATATGGTCAAGGCCAGCCTTTCCCAGGATTTAGTGAGAGCCTATCTCAAACAAACAAAAAAGAACAAAAGCATGCATGGGACAGGCAAGGACCCTTGCAGTGGGAAACTCACAGCAGGGGGAGCCACAGCCAGGGGAGGGCGTCGCTGACATCGTTGACGATGGCGACTGAGCCGGTGAGCAAGGTGCTGGCAGACAAAGGCAGGTAGGCGGGTCAGGAAGGTGAGTGAATGATGGAAGAGAAAAGAAGATATGAGGTGGACAGGGCCAGGTTGAGAGGAAGCAGCAGTGGCGGTAACTTTTACAGCAGAATGAGCTCTGGCCCAGCCTCGGTCCCGCCAGTGCTGGACCCTCCAGCCTGACTCACCCGAAGGCAGCGCCGCTGCACACACCTCCACTGGCGCCTAAGACCAGGGCGGGGAGGGCGAAGACAGACTCGGCAACGGCCACAGTCCTCTTGGGTCTGACAGCCCCGGCACACTCCACACCCTCGGCTCTGTGGGGGGCCGGAGGTGTGATGCAAGGGATCAGGGCTACTGGGGCCAGAAACTGGGGTGAGCCTAGGGCCCACCCCACCTGCCGAACTCACCCTCTCCACAATTCGGAGGCAGCGTCTCTGCTCACACTTGCAGAACAGCCCTGAGGCCACATCATGGGGCAGTTGCAAGAGGCAGGTGGAACAGGCCCCACAGTCCTTGGTTACTCGGCAGGCTGTACACTCTCCACAGCCCACACGCTGCCAGAAATGAAGAGGGCATGAGTCATTGGCCCAGGCAGAAGAGCTTCCCTGTCGGCTGACCCAATATCAGCTCCCATCACCATATCCATCAGTCCCCCATTAACCTCATCACTATATAATTACTGATTAGCCACCAATGTTGAGTCTACAATGTCTGACGGTCCCACTAACTTCATCCATATGTCTATTCAGAGACATCCTATTAATTCCTCTTACTATATCTTACATGGGCAGATCCCTATAAAAAGACTCACATACCCCATGAACTATCACCTCTTTCAGAACCTCTACCAGCCCCATCATCTCTTGCTCCCATTGCAGGGCTGTGAGAGAAAGCACACTGTTCTTACCTTAAACATCCTCTGCTCCCGGTTGAAAGCAATTCTCTGTGCTGAGAGAGGGAAGGAAAAAAGTGGGAAGGGAAGAATAGGCAACTGGCTTCCCCCACTGGCTTGGCCGAATCCCTTTCACTGCTCAAGCTCTACCTATACTTCATAGTTCCTAAATCCAGCCTCCCACCATGCCAATAGCCTCTCTGTCCTAACATCTACCAATCAACTTCCAGCCTAGCTTGACACTAGGCCTGTCCCAGCTTCTGTCTCCCAGTGTCCCATCCCAAAGGGGGTCAATCACCTCTGCAGTCCTTGCACAATGTCTTGAGCCGCTGCCTTCCAGTAGCATCCCCTGAGAAGCTGATTCCACAGTTCTCACAGCACCTGAGATGGAAAATAACAATGTGGGGCCCTAAGAGCACCTTTGGTTTCAGCCCTCTTATAAGGCTCAACTTAGGCCAACACTCACCCAGGTGCAGGGACTGAAGCTGGGGCTGTGTCAGTATCAGCCTTTGTTTCATCTTCTCTGGTCTCCTTCCTGACTTTATTCTTTTGGGATACAACATGTCGTTTCTGAGCCTTGGCTGGCTTTGAAGCCTTCTTTTGTTTCTTGCTTGGGACCACCACAGGACGGGACTGGAAATGAGGGTGAGGACAGGAAAAATGTAGGTCAGCATATGGGTGTTAGGAAACAGTCACCCCTGCCCTGGGCACCCCACACTGTGAAGTACCTTAGGGGCTGAATAGCACAAGATGCCTTGTTTGAAGTCGAAAAGGCTGAGATCACACGCAGGGCCCAGGTATCGGGTGAGCTCAACTTTGCTTCGGATCCTGTCTCCTGTGGGGCTGGGGATGGGCCAGGATGAGTTGGTACCTGGGTAGAGCCAATGTCATTCTACCCATTCAACCCTTTCACAGCAGGATACAGGAAGCAAGCTGGAATGAACCTGGGATGCCCACCTAGGTCCTACTCAAATAATACTAAGTAATGGGAATATATATAAAATATAACTAATACCAGCCTGTATACAAACATAGTCACAAGCTGTACAATGTTTTGATCAATGATAAACCACATACTGTACAGCAGTCCAGTAAGATTACAATAGATCTAAAAAATTACTACTTTCCAGCAACACTGCTGCCATTATGTCATGGCACAATGCATTACCTCCTGTGGGGAAGCTAGTGTAAACAAGCCTGTGCTACGAGTCACAGAGAAGTACAGCAAAGATAACTATAAACAATACATACTTGGTAAGTATGTAAAGATAGGAGTCCAAGGCTGGCCTCATTAATTTTTACGTACAGTATTAAGAGACCACAGGCAAATGATGGCAAACCTTCTAGAGCCAAGTACCCAAACTATAACCTAAAAGCCACATACCTATCACAAAGTGCCAACACTACAACTAAACCTGAATATCCCAGTTTCTCAGCTGGTTTAGGGTTATGCTTTTATTACTTGAGTATATTCCTATTAAAACATTTACTATAAAATAGTATACCATGTTAAATGGGAAGTAGCCTTATTCATGCTTATTTTAAGTCTTGATTTCATCATTTTCTCTCATGCTTAATTTTGTTTCGTTCATCACTGCCTAAGGAGCAAAACACACATATATGTGTTATGCATACACACACACACACACACACACACACACACACATCTAGATGATATTTTGATCAATGGTGAACTAATATACAAAAGCAGTCTCATAAGGTATTGCCTAGTGACATACATGGTACTTAGTCTGTGTAAGTATATTCTATAATGCTTACATGATGAAATTGCCTGCCATGTTCCTCAGAATATATCCTTGTCCTTAAGCAATGCATAGCTTTATCATTTACACCATCTAGCTTTGTGAAACTATGCTCAATGATGCTGGCACAAGGAATTCACCTAACAATACATTTCTCAAAATGTATTTTCATTGTTAAAAGCAACATGTAACAATATAAATGGAAACAGCTAGGCAAGGCAGTATAAGCCTATAATCCTAGCCACTTAAGAGACTAAGGCAGAGGCTGGGTAGATAGCTCAGCGGTCTAAGTACCTGCCTGGCAAGTATAAGGATCCAGGTTTGATTCCCAGCACTGCATATGTACCAGCCCCGAAATGGGGCATGGTGGCACATGCCTAAATTCCCAGCACTGGGTTGAACCAGGAGGATCATTACAAGTTCAAGCTGCATAGTGAGGCCCTGTATAAATAAATAAATAAATAAATAAATAAATAAATAAATAAAAATTATACTACACAGCTCCTATGCAAAAAACAAACAAAAACAAACAAACAAACAAAAAAACACAAAACAGGACAGAAAAAGATGCTAAGGCAGAAAGAATGAGTTTGAGACCAGTCTGGGAAAATAGTGAGATCTGGTCTCAAAAACTGAATTACAAAACAAAAACCCTGGTACAGTTGTACACAACTATAATACAAACTTCTTGAGAGGCTGAGGCAGAAGGACTGACTAAAGATAGGAGTCCAAGGCTGGCCTCATTAATTTTTACAAACAGTATTAAGAGACCACAGGCAAATGATGGCAAACCTACTAGAGCCAAGTACCCAAACTATAACCTAAAAGCCACATACCTATCACAAAGTGCCAACACTACAACTAAACCTGAATATCTCAGTTTCAGTTTATGAAAAAACAACTCATATATTAACATCTTTTGTCTTAAAAATAGAAAAACACAAGTAACACACATGCCATAAGTTTGCCACCAGTGCCACAGGACTGCTGGGGCTGTAGCTCAGTGGCATGGTACTAACCTACCATTTCTGTGTAACAGAAATGTTTAAAAATTATACAAAAATGTAACTACATACAAAATATAAGTATTTGACAATGGGAAAAAGTACTCCCTGAGTCTATTTATTTCTTTGTGAGGCATTGATTGTCCTTTACAATAAACTATCTTTTCAAGAACATTTGTAAAGCCAACAATCTTGGAAAATAAATGATGGGGACTACTTCCAGAGCAAGAAGAATGCATATTTACTATCCTAATATTACAAGAGATATAATTCTATAAGCTCAGTTGTTTCCCTGTAATATGATCCACACTGCATGCAGTACATGTTACTTGACCATCTTCATGTCATTCATTAGATGGAGACTGGGATTCAAGGTGCTAGCACAAAAACAAAGACGTTCTGGATCTTGCTAATGGCGTTAGAAGTCTCATGTTTTCTACAAGCATCCACAGAACTGTAATGAACATACCTGCCTAAATAGGATAAAATCTCAGATCCCATAGTTCTTGACAATTACAACTTCTGAAAGTTTGTATAAATACGTGAATGTTTAAAAGTTAATTAAATATGAACAAAAGTTAACTATTTACAGTTCTACTATATTTCTTTTAGGGAAATAGCAACTTTGACAATGAAAATAAGGAGCGTAGAAAGTTTAATAACTATCACTACGAAGTCTAAAATCATGTAAGTATTTATAAACATGTTTTTATTTTTATAGTCAATTCATGTTCATGGTAGCTAGGGTTCTTACATGGTAGTTATGGTTTTTAATGCTGCCATGAACCCTGAATTAGGGAATAAGGAATCAAGCTTCTTAGGAAACACACAGGGTTAAGTTCCAAGAAACTTTGGTCACATTTTCTATAACTCATTAATTACATAATACTGTTATAAATAAGTGTTTAATGGCACCTTTCTTGATTTATGTATTTCTATAAACAATTGCAAGGTCTCTGAAGGATTAAGGCTGAGGGCTACAGAGAATGTTTTTGTCACAAAGGTTCATCTGCCAATGTTCTCATCAAACAAGTCAGCCTCACTGGCACTGAGAGTCTACTCAACATGAAGCAAGTATGTTTTAAGACGTTTCCTCCACAGATTCCTCATCTATAGCTGCACAGCACAGAAGTTTAACATTTTTCATGCCATACCACCTTTTGAAATGTGCCAGCCAGCACTACTGAGATAGGTTTATATTTTCCTAATACTGGGTAACATCTTTCACTTTCCTCATAATAATGCTGCACAAAATGTATTATTGGTTATTTCATGGCTCCACAAACGTAGCTGCTTTTCCTCAAGTAATACAGATGTTATGTTCTGTACTTCCCAGAGCAGCCTCACATACATACTGGCAAGTTTCCTCTTCTTTTTCTGGATGTACCATGTTTCTGATTTATTAATATTGAACTCATAGGTAACCATTGTAACTCATGCTCAAATGAAACTTATCTGACAGGTATTTTCTCCATAAGGTATATCGCATCCTTCCTGAACTAAAACACTAGATGGCAGGCAGTTCAGTGCTTTATCTGGGGGTCATTTTAAATAGCAAAATCATAATAACACACAAAAATGAGAAAAACGTGGCACTAAACAGACCACATAAAGGATGCTTATTTACAGTATGAAACCTGACCCAAAAAGCCCTTCTTGGTTTGGGTATATGTGATAAGGTGACTCTAATTTTAACTGCTCTGTGTGCCTGTGAATAACCATGAAAGTACCATGTTAACTTTGGTTCCATAAATTCTATTAAGTAGGTGAAATTTCAAATATGAAATCTCTGAATAATGGGGATTGACTATGTGCATAATTTGAAGTCTATCCATAAATTTAACCACATCTTCTTTTAACCTAATCTAACCAGGCTCACCCCTTCCCCTGACTCTGCCCACAACCCACTCAGTACCTCTGGTAATAGGTGTCTGAGCGACCACAGGTGGCCCCTGACTTGCGATAGACTTCACGTCGCTTCCAGCCAGGGCCCAGGGCTGGGCAGTCCAGCCAGTCCTCAGCCATGGAGGCCTCAGGAATCAGCAGCAGCCTGCAAGGTGGGAAGGGTGAGGTATGGGAGAAACTGAGGCTCTAGAGAGAGGTAAGCTGCCCAACTCCACACAGACCACTGGTATCTTTTCTCTGCCTAACACCTGCCAGACGAAACAAGTTTATACACAGCAGGGAAAAGCCCATTCCCATCCTTAGTCTTCCCTGTCTTGAAGGAGCTCTTCATTCCTCCTCAAATCTGCTAGCTGTCATTACTCACCACTCAGACAGAGAGTCCATCATTTCTTTCCACCACAAAACCAAGACCCTTTTATTCTTCTCCCTCATTCCTGTCTTTTGCACAGGAGACCCCTCCTGACTTTAACATAGGGATCATATCTTTCCTCTTTGTCACCCTAACACCCTCATAGTTACCAGCCTCAGCCTGAGAAGGCTCACTTCTCTGATCTCTTATTTCTTCTCATTTTGACCTTAAAGTTGCCAATTTTTCTCTTTAAGGATTTTAACTTCCCTACTTGTTCCTCCAGGATGATATTCTCATAATTATCCTATCTCAGGATTACGACTTCAACTTCCACCGCATCCTCTGTGAGCAAGCCTCCTGTTCCTCCATATCAGTGCCCTGAACAGCCCCCTCATTCTTCCTATTCCTCAGTTGGGTAACCTCCCACATCTCGGTACAGCTCAATAGCTCCTCTAGCCTCAATTTCTGTTCCTTCTGTGTTTTGATCCACAACTGCCCCTAACTCTATCCCTCTCCTGTATAACCAGAAAGTTGGCTTTTTGCCCTTCAATGTTTTCATCCACCATTTCTCTTCTCTATCCGGCTGAGAAACCCTGATTTTTCCTTCTGCACTCCAAACTGTTCCCACTTTCCTCACCGTTCATGTCACAGGACCATGACATTTCTGCCAGCCTCCTGATGCTCTATGCTTTCTCCATATGAGCCCCCCATTTCTTTGTGTCATCAGCCTAAGTGCCCCTTATTTTTCCCTCTAAGCGTCGTGGACCTCCACTTCTCTCTCAACTTGGACGGCCCGGTGTCTCCCTCTGCATTTTCTAATCTCCCCCATTCCGCCCGTCTTCAATCCGAGATCCTGATACTCCTATCAGCATTCTGAGACACATTCCATCCTGTCCCTCGTCTAACTCCCTCTGTTCCTCCTTTTTAATGTGCCGACGCCGCCATTCCTCTACCTCCTCGGCCCGAGGGCCTTTCATTCCTCCCGTCAGCGTTCGGAGCCTGCATTCCTTCCCACCCTCCGCCTGAACGATCGCTACTCCTAAGCCTGTCTCACCAGCCTGGCACCAGGCCCGTAGCTCCCGCCGCTCTAGGGCCTCGGACCCATGGTGAGGGTCCCGCCCGCGCGTCCCGCCTAGCTCTACTCTTCCTCCTCCGCAGCCGCCTCGTCGAAACCGTAGCAGTCCCCTCCGCCGCTGTTCGTTGCTCCCGGAACCGGAAATCCTCCGCCTCCGGGCTCCGCCCCCGACGTGAAACCTGGGCCCCGCATTGGCCGAGCGCGCCCGTCCCGAAGCGGCTGCGGCCCCGGAGCGCGGAGGCTCCCCAGCAGCGCGCGCCCTTTGCGCGCTGCGCCTGCGCACTAACGCCAACCGCTGCTGGCGCACCGTCGGGGATCGAGGCGCCTGCGCTGCCCGCTTTTCCCGCTGGCGCATCCGCCTCCCTGCGGTCCAGTCTCAACCTAAAAAGGGGCGTGCGGTGGGTTTGCGCCACACCGTGCCGCTCGGTCCTCGTCTCCGCGAGGAGGCAGCAGCGCCAGCGACGTGCTGGCCTAGTCCTAACCAGGCCGACACTCGGGCCACCCTCCCAGCGGTACCCCAGCCCCTCGTTTAGAGTCCCAGTTAGAGGCCCGTCTTCTTCCCGAGCGGCCCCAGGCGCAGGGAGGCGCGGCGCACAGCAGGTAGACTTAGGGAGTGAGGCGTCAAGCCCCAGAGGCCACGCTGTGTCCTGGGGCAGGGTGCCTCGGGACTCCCCGCACATGCTAAGTGAGTTCTGGACGAAAGCCCGTCCCCAAAGTAGGGCGAGAGACTGCCCGGTGCACCTCCGCCTGGCATGGGAAGCCCGTCCACCATCGCGGCACGAGTACTGACCAGCGGTTACCAGTGCCGCAAGACGAGGCTGCGCACAGGGTTCCTGGGCTCATCTCCCTGGGCAGGTAGAACTGCACAGCCGAGGGAAGCAGTTGCTGACTAGATGCTCATAGCCTGGGATACTGCGGCCTCCTGCACAAGCGTGCCATGGCCCCTCTCCTGCAGGGGCTGAGAACACAGCTGCAACTGCAGTGAGCATTAAGACCATCAGGAGTTACCTTCCTTCATTCTTCAAAATTTTATTAACAAAATGCAGGGCAGGGGGAAGGCAAGGGTGAGTAGACGCCACAGTCTCACCCAGGCACAGAGAACAGAGAAATGGGACAGACACGGAGGAAAATGCTGAGAACCTTATGTAAGGGCAAATGGATAGTCAAAAGGTGGACAGGTACAGGGAGAGAAGGAACAAAAGGAGACTCAGGGCCACTCTCCCGACTGGAATGCACGGTGTGAGGGGCTCTGGGCTGGTCAGGCTCAGCGGTCAGCACTGGAGCGCAGGTCAGTAGTGAGCGGGTCATGCTGGATGGTTTGGTGCAGCATCAGGGCCAGCAGCCCTGCCCGGTTTGTCATGGCCGTCCGTACATTGCGCTCCTGTTCAAATAGCTCATCCAGCTTGTACCACTGTCAAGGGAATGGAAGAAGCCATGAGAACCAGCTCCTGTTGCAGCTCCCAGCAACCCTTGCCAGCATCAACACCTACCACCCGCACGCGCTCCAAGTCCACTTCTGCACGCCGCAGCTTTTCCCAGCAGTAATGTCGATTGCACTGGCGCTTGGGTAGGCGGCAGAAGTCACCTGTGAGCTCAAAGACGTCACGTACAAGGGGGCACCCACATACCTCATCGGCTGGCACCTGTAGAGAAACCAAGGGTGGGGATGAATAATGGTGGTGAGGGTGAAAGAAGAACGGGACAGTGCTCAGAGAGAAGGAATGGAGTTTGGGGGCAGGAAGAAGGGGAAGAATTGGAGATGAGTCAGGGAAAGGGAAATGAAAGCTACCAAATAGGAAAAAGGAAGGGAAGGAGGATGAGATAAGGAGGGGCAGAATGGGGGGAATTGAAGGAAAACCTTACTTTGGGGTCCCGTGAGTGCTCGGGGCATAGCACCTGGAGCCGCTTACAGTAAGTTTTGCTTTGAGGATTATAGACATCACAGAAGAGTCGTGTGGCCCTAGGAGTTTAAAGATGGTAATGGAGAGTGAGAAGAGCCCCACCTATCCTTGCTCATGCCTGTTTCCTGTCTCAGCTCCACACACATTCCATTTCTGACCCCAGCTTCTTTTCCCTCCTATAACTCCCTATGGCACCCTCACTCACCCTTCAATGCGTGTGGGGTACATGGACCCAAAGGACGTCTGGCTCTCATACTGGAGGAATGAACACAAATGGAGGTAATTGTGAATGTGTGCTGCATGGCCTCCCAATACACCCCCAAACAATACATCTGTCCCATGGGTCCACTGATACTCCCACACCATTTACCCCCTAGGCTGACACCCTGACCTTGGCATAGCAGCGCTCCATGTGGCGCAAGGCAACACGTGGATTGATGGGGTGCCCGCAAGAGACGCAGAAGATCTGCAAGTCTGTGTCATCACTGTCATTCTCATTGCTCTGCATGGGGTAGAAGGAATGATGAGGCCAAATGTGACCAGGTATTCAACCTTGGCCCTGCCAGGTCCATGCTTTCTAACCTCCTCATCCTCGCGCACAGCCTGCTGCTTGGCACGCAGAATGATGGCCTCAAGCTCGTGGAATCTGCGCTCCATTTCCTGGAGGCGAGTTCGGGCACTCTGCTGCTCTCGGCGAATGCGTTCTAGCAGCTTCTTGCCATGCTCTTCAGCAATGCAAGGGCTCTGTTGCCACTGCTGGATGCGCTGGGGCAGGATCTCATAGATGCGACTGCAATGAGGCAGTGAACAGAGCAGGCAAGGAAGGTGATGATTAACAAAATGGGTTATGAAATGGTGAAAGATAATAGTGAACAGCTAAATGGTAGGTGGATGGGCAGATGGTCACTGAATGCTGGATGAATGGGCACATGAATGGATAGGCAGACAGATGTGTCAGAGGCTACTCTGACAGATGAGTAACCATCCTGATGCTGGAGATGGCTGACTGGTAGATACAGAAGGGCTCTGCTCATGCCCTACTCTGTACTTCATGATTCTTCTAGCCCCCAAGAAAGACTCACTTGGCTGCCAGCTTCATGCCACAGTCATCTGAGCAATACTTGGAGCCTGGCTGAGCAGCACGCACACAGCCAGGTCCCAGGCACTGTGGTAGTGATGCAGGGTCCTTGGCATCAGCCCTCTCTGGGTGTTTCCATTTATCCTTGTGTTTCTGTTTCTGCCGATGCCGCTTATATCTCTCCTCCTTCTATGGGACAAGATAGGTAAGATCACAATGAAATAAAGTCATCCTCAGACCTGTCTCCCACTCCATTCCAGCATCTTCTGGCTCTTGCCCCATCCAGCCCTTGACCTTTGTACCTCCCTCTCCACCCTGCTCATGCCTTCTCATACCCATTTTACCCTCTCCATCACCTTCTTCTCAGACTTCTTCTCCCGGCGCTTTACATGCTTCACTTTCACTGCCCTCTTCCTAAGTGCAGGGTCCAGGAATGGAGACTCTTCTGTGTCACTCATCCAGGGCTGTAAGGAGTGTATACTGACCATCTGCCCCACTATGGACAAACCCACCAACCATTCACTTCCCAAAGTAACCCTGCAAACTCTTTGCTTTCCCCTCTTCTTGTAAGAATCTCTCCACTTTCATAACCTTCACCCTTCCACGAAGGGAGGTTCCTAGTGCTTACCAGGCCATGGTCATCAAAGGCCCCTGCACAGAAATCTTGGTATAGGTCAGGATCCAGCGTTAGGTCCTCATCTGAGAGTGGCTCAGGTGTGGCTGTTGCCTCAGGTGGTTCCTTGACAGCAGATGACGCCACTGCCCCCTCATCTTCACGGATACGGCCCAGCTTCTGTGATGGCTGTGGCTGTTGTTGAGTGGGCGGTGGCCGGCGGGGCCTTGGCAAGGACTCTGAAGGTGTCACCGGCGAGAGCTGCAGGGCAGAATCTCAGGACTGGCCCTGACCGCCCTGCCCGCATGCCCTGCCCCGCCCTGGGGGGCTGGACTCACCGAGGAAGGGAAGTACTTGTACGATTCCTGTGCCGGCAGGAGGAAGGCCTAGGTCAGCCCCAGATAGATGGAGGGTACCCCTGCCCTAACCCCACCCTCTTCATTTTCCCTTGACACACTTGTCTCCATAACCCTCACCATCAGGACATGCTCATCCCTGCCTGCTGTCCTGAATTGCCCAACCACCTATACACACCTGGGTCTACCCTGCTCATCTAGGGTTCAGGGGTTCTTCTGCCAGCCCAGCACATTTAGTCATGTAGCATTCATCTACACATGCTAGGCCTTCCCTCCTGCCTGGATAAAAAAATCAGGCTTCATCCCACCTGGGCCCACCATTTCTAGTCTCAAGTGGCCCTACCTGAACCTTTCAACCATGTATTCCCACCTGACCCTGACCAGCTCCATCCATGCTCACCCGGGCTCGCAGCTGGCACTGGCGCAGCCGGCACTTCTGCCGGATCTTGTTGGGGCCCCCAAACTTCTTCATGTCACGGCAGAAGTCACAGTGGCCACAGTCCTCTGTACGCCGGCATGCCTCACACTCACCGCACATGCGTGCTGACCTTTTGATCTGCTGCTGCTGCTGGTGATGCTAAGAGATGTTGCCCAGTACAGAAATCAGGAATTTAGGCATGGCCCAAAATGGGACCATTGTAACCACCCCAACCACTGCAACTCACCTGACTGGGTGTGGCCACCAAGGGCTGTGGAGATGATTTGTGGGGTGAAGTAGAGCCCCGAGCAAGCATGGCCCCAACCCCTGTCCCTGATCCTGCCCGGCGCTGCAGGTCTGGATCTGGGACAGGCCTCTTTCGCCCTCCACCCTCATCCCGGGGCTCACTGCTGTCCCGTTCATTGCCATCCCGCTCCCGTGACTTTTTGTGCCGATAGCGAATCTCCAGCTTAGGATCCTTCTCTGTGGGGTAAAGGGATAGTTGGTCTGGAACATGAGATTTTTTTGTTTGTTTACTGAGACAAGAGTCTCACTTTGTAGTCCAGGCTGGCCTCAAACTCTCAGTGATCCTCCTGCCTCAGCCTCCTCAGTGCTGGGATTATAGGCATGTGCTACCATGCCTGGTAAAAAGGGACAATTGGTATGGAAGACTTCAATTGTACCAGAACCCCTTTCTTTTTTTCTTTCTCTTACTCTCTGCCTACCTGTTCTGCCCCCCTGCTCCAAGGCAGAATTAGTTACACCTTAGTAAGCATGTCAG